TGCACTATTTCTAGGAGATTTACCCATGTGAGCAAATCCCCAGGTGAGAAACTAGAACCCCTGAAGAAGTCCCAGTGGGTTTGCAGTGGTGGGAGGACAGGGTTATGACATTGGCATTTTGACTTGGTAAAAGCAGCAGACTTTGGCTCCACTGTGCATGGACCTGGGGACCCTGGACAAGTCCCTTAACTTCTCCTGGTGTCTCTTCATAAAGTGGAGGTTGTTTTGAAGTTTATTAAAGTGGAATTTTGCTATTGCAGTATTTACTTTGGTTTTTGTATATGGTTCCTGGCTCACAAGTATTTGGCCTTTTGTCCTTAGTTCCTGAAGCTCCCCGAGGTACGTCAGGGAACTGGTTGTAAAATCAAAACCCTCATTCCAGACGGGTCCTGCCCCATACCTGGGAGGAAGGAATACTGCACAGAGAGGCTAAGAAGAATCTCAACAGACAAGCCCGAAAGGGATTCCTCAGTGTCTCTTAGCATAAGATCATTCCTTTTGTCCAATCGCATTTCTACACAATTGCCCATGCTTCCTCCAATCATGCCTCTGAGATGAAGTCTCCATAAGAAGTCCAAAAGAACAATAACTCTCTTGGAGGGTTCAGAGAGTCTGGATAGGTGAACATGGGAAGCTAGAAGGAAGGGACTCATCCATGTGCTGGGAGGGTGGTGAACCCTAACTCCACAGAGACTCCATAGCCCAGTCTATGCATGTCATCATCTGGCTCTTTATTTGTACCTTTTGAAGTATCTCATAATAGGGCCAGCAGGTGGTGTGGTCGTTAAGGTGTTGGACTCCTACATGGCTAATTCTGGTTCAAGTCCTGGACCTGGCAGCTTGCTTTCACACTCTCCTCTCTCTCTCTGGTCAAATTGAATAATAATAAAAAAGAAATAAAACTGAATAAATAATTCTTTTTTTTCCAGAGGTTTTTGCTACAGGGTGTGTACACTTGCCTGAAAGAGACAGAGAGAAAGCGAGAAATCACCCCCCAGGGGGGATGGCCACACTGCAATCCCTTCTCCTCCATTCTCCTCTCAGGATCTTGGGCATGCACACACACACGCCCAGCATGAGTTTAAGCCACCAGGTCCGGGTCTCAAACGGCAGTCAACTACATGGGAGTCCAGCAACATAGCCATTACGCCAACTGCTGGTCCCTGCATAAATAATTCTTTTTTAAAAAAGTATCTTATAATAAACCAGTAAATATAGTTAAATGTTATCCAGAGTTCTGTGAGTTTAGCAAATTAATTGAGCCTAAATAGTGAATCAGGGACTCCTTGACATGTAGCCAGTTGATTAGAACTTCCAGAAGCTCAGCTTGAGACTGGCCTCTGAAGTGGGAGCAGACTTAAAGGACTGAGACCTCCACCAGTAAACATCTGATGCTCTCTCCAGGTAGAGTGTCAGGATTAAACTGAATTATAAAACGCCTGGTCAGTGTCTGTGCAGAACTGCTTGCCTGCTTGCTCGCTGGCGGGAAGAAATTCCCACACATTTGTTCATGGAAGTCTTCTATATGGATTGCTGCGAGTATAAGGAAAACAGTATGAGTTCCCCCCACCCCCAGTTAAAATTATAAAGCACTCACCAGAGTACCTGGCACATTCTAAGTACTCAATATTAGCTGGATCTGGGGAAAAGCAAAGCCTGTCTTAAATCTGAAAGCCATCACAGGGGAGTTCCCCGGATAGCAACCAGGGCTATGGTGTTGGCACAACAGCGCCTGGTCCTGGCAAAAGCCTAATACATTGCGACATGTTTGATGAAATAAAATGCCAACACATCTATCTGAACTCTCGACCAATTCTGAGAAAATAATTCTATGTAGCATGCTGGCTTTTTTGGGTTAAATAAGTTGTGCTAAGAGCTTTGATCAAAGCTTGGTGCTAGCTGATTTACTTACTCGCTTGACATTAAGTCCCGAGCACAAATTCTTCTAACTAGGCTCCTTTGAATTAAAATGGAATCCAGGGGCCAGCAGGTGGCATGGTGGTTAAGGCCGTTGGACTCCCACATGACTGACTATGGTTCAAGTCCTGGACCTGGTGGCTTGCTTTCTCACTCCCTAACCACCCCCACCCCCATCCCTCTCTGGTCACATTTAAAATAAATAAATAAAGTTCAATAAAGTAATAATTAAAAAATAATTTTCTAATAAAATAAAATGGAATCCAGTTTATCAATATAAATAGATGAGTCAATTAGTATAACAATTTTAGAGAAATGATTCTTTTTTGTTGTTACATTTTGCCAGATGGTGGTGGACGGGCCTGGAGAGAGATAAAGGGAAAGTGAGAAAGCACTCCCTGGTGGGGGGATGGCCATGCTGTAACCCTTTCTCCATTTTCCTCTCAGGATTTGGGGGTATGGATAGCATGTTTTCTGAGCCACCGGGTCCAAGACTTCAACAGTGCAGTCAGCCAAGTGGGATCCAGACACCTTACCTACCATGCCACCCACTGGCCCAAAAAATAATTTTTTTTTTTTTTTAAGATTTATTGATTTAATTCAGGAAGTCACCAAATAGATATTTCTGGATTCAGGTGATGGCAACAAGAACAAAATGATGGGGTAAATGCAGGACTTAGTAAGTGACTAGGTATAACAGGAAAATGAAAAACCTAGGTGAAGCTCCTTCATAAAAAAAGTGAAGGGGCCCAGCAGGTGGTAGAGTCATTAAGGTGCTGGACTCCCAGATGGCTGAATGTGGTTTGAGTCCCAGATCTGGCAGCTTGAATCACACCGGGTACATGTGCAAAATCCCAAGAGGACAACTGTGGAAAAGGGATTGTGCTGTGGCCATCCCTCCGGGGTGGGGTGGGGGGGTGGTTTCTCACTTTCAGTCTCTCTCTGTCGCTCCAGTGAGTGCACACACCCTACTGCAAAAATCTCTCTTCACAAAAAAATGTGAAATATGAAAGGGAATTTGCGGGACTCGCTGAACTAGAGTTTAAAGATGGGACAACCAAGTAGACCTGTCCAGTGGCAACAGAGAGACACAGAACTAGACCTGAGGACAGGTGTCTGGGAAACCACACAGAGAGGTTTACTGGTTGGAGTTATGAGAAGAGATGAGTAACAGCCAACAGGCAATCCCGTTTTCAATTTCTCATTTAAAGCTGTATCAATCCTCATACTCTTTTTCAGTTCCCTTCACTCATAATGACTGCGCCCATTCCCATTTGCCCTGCCAAATTTCAAAGGGCTTATATTTCCATCCAATTACCAATTAAGCCTCACAGGTATTCCTTACATTTTCAAAGGGCTTTTAAAACATATTACTAATAAAACTCCCCAGTTTTAAGTCTTACATTTTAATGCAAATCTATTTAAAAACTGGGAACATAATACCTCTCCCCACAAATAATCTTGTTATTTTTGGCTAAATGGAGTGATTCAAATGTTTGATTACTTTTTCAGAGAAATTTAGCTGCTGCTTGCAACAAGAGCATCCAACGAAGGAGGAAAATACTTTCACATAACTGGCTGTAAAAATATGCAAGTAAGGAACGTATTAAACTGTTCTTCCTGATAAGCGTACGAGGAGGAGAAATCTGGGCAGATGAGGACAGAAGGATACTTACATTCAGCCAAGCTTGGTCACTGAGAACCCTGAGATCCCACACTATTTTCCTAGAGTAGTCCTAGAAAGGCAGGTTCCAAAACAGGGTCCATGCACGGATTAGGCCACACAGCAAACCCCATCCTCTGCTGGTGAGAGGGACGGGAAAAAATGGGAGGGAGCATTCCCTGCTGTTACACGCAGGGGCTATTCCAGCATGTCCCTGGCTCAGGAGCAAGTGAAGTACTGTAAGAGCCTCACAGACAGGTTCCAAAGCCATTTGTTAGCAGTGATCTGCCAAGTTTCATACTCTGTTGAGACCATGAAGAACCCAGATCCAAACTCTGAAGGCTACAGCCTAGTTAATGGATTTGGGACCAGACTGCTCTGTAGGGAAGGGCCTCATTGTTCCCCTTTTCATTCCATTAGCATTAAGGCGGGGACTGATTTGCACCACCTCAATTGGACAAGTAATAGCAACTGTTCACGTAGCCAACACACAAAACTTGCATACTTAAGAGATTTCGCATCACTACAAGAAGACAACAAATGGAATCAAGACTTCTGTGCTTAAAACACATTGGCTCACCCTATCCTCCCTAGCTCTCTGTCTCTGTTTTAAAAGAAAACACACAACAGGACACTGCATTCACTTTAAACTGTGCCTTCTTCAAGTTTGTATCAGAGAAAGGAAAAGCCAGGCTCTTAAGGGAACAAATTCAGGCAAATTAGTTGAAAGACAAGGAGAAGGAAGCTTGTCCTCCAGCACTTTCATCTTGCCGGCCTCCAGATGTAGCACACGCTGCCATCCTCTAGAGGGAGTTGACAGTCTCAACTGCAAAAGGGTTATTTATTTATTTATTTATTTTTGAGAGAGATATTTTTGCTATAGGGAGCATGCACTCGCCAGAGAGACAGGAAGCAAGAAATAACAAATCACAACCCCCCCGCCCCCCGGGGATATGGCCACACGGCAATCCTTTCTCTTCAACTCTCCTCTCAGGATCTTGGGGTCGTGTTCACACGTGTGCCTAGTGTTGAGTTTTAAGTTGCCAGATCCAGGAATTGAACTGCAGTTGACTACGTGAGAGTCCAGCATCGTAACCACTATGCCACCTGCTAGTCCCAAGGGTTATGAATTTTTAAGCCAAGTGAGACTTTTGGAACCTCTTAGCAATATTGGGTTTGCACGCCCCTAGCAAAGAACCAATCTGATGACTAAAGAGATTTCCTATGAATGTCCATGGCTGCTTTTGCTTCACCCAAACAAAACAAAAGAGACAAAAAAGTTACTAGTATTAGGGCAACCTTCTTAACTGAAGGACTGTCCACACCAAAGCCTTTCTAATTTCCCAAGGGGTACTAAGATCCAGGTAAGGAAGGCAAATTTTAGAAGCTTTCTCGACAAACACAATTCAGGGATAAGGGGTTCAATGTGCAAAGTCTTTTATTAAAATTTTGAAAAGATAAGACTTAGACCATCTTGGTCTATGCCATTCCCATCATGAGGAATGACGGTTTCAAACTCGTGCAGAGCTGCATTTTCATTTACAGAACTCTGTAGGCACTTGAGAAAGTGAAGCTTAGCTTCAAAATACAAACACTGGGGGCTTTGGCTCAACCTTTTAATATAAAAAGTTCACTGATGTACAAAAATGCGAAAGTGTGACAATGACAACATATGAAATTCTGTGATTGAAAGTCCCCTCGAGTGCACTATGGTGCACATGCACCCGCCCACACATACTCTGGCGTGGAAACATAAACTAATGCAAACCGGTGCTACCAAGAAGTGCCAACACGTGTGTTCTCCATTCCACCAATCACAGACCAGTATCTACTCCAAACATTCAGTAACAAAAAGTACAGCATCTTCCCAGGAACAGCAAGGCAGACTTCTTACTCACGATGGACCAGCACAAATAAACCCAGCAAAAAGAGTACCGCGTACTAGAAAACAAACAGAAGCACACGTTAGAGAAGCTTTTGAAAACTCACTGGTTCTCAGAGCTAATTAATAAATTGGCCTTTGTGATCACGATAAATTACTAATCTATCCAGTTATTCTCTGAACTATTATCCATTTAACAGTTCCCAAAATTAAGCAGAGATCACATTTTGAACGAAACATAAAATGCAGGCTCGTACCTTAAATTTAGGATAGTCATTCATGAGGATCGTCACAATTCCAATATAAGGAACGAATCTAAAATGAACAAACAAAAAACTGATCATCACAGAACTTCCTAAATGAAGCAGCTGTTGTCACTTGCCGAACATTGGCAAATCTTCATTAACACTCATTTTCAGTTCACAAACCCCATTTGTATAGATTGTCGTAGTTGACCCTTCAACAGTCCGTGTGACAGGAAGTTAGGAATATCACCATTTTATAGATGAGGAAACAGATGGTCCTGCCCATAGACATGGCTTCTGTGAGCTAGAATCAGTCCCAGATTTGAGGTCTTAGAATTCTAGGCAGTGACGCTAATGCCACAAGCTGACGCAGTGCTGGCAGCTGGGTTTGCCATGAAAGCCTTCAGGGAGCTGTCACTCTAGTCGGGAAGACAAGACAAACACAACAGACCACAGTACTTTATGTTAAGTGGCCAGAAAGTAGGTGTATGGGCTCTGTTATTGTAATACTTAGGACGTCACCACCTGCCCACTTTTTAACTACTTATAATCTGGATTTGGTCATCTTAATCTGGAATCTTTTCTAAAATATTTTGTTGTTTCTTCCTATAGAGCTTGTACACTTGTTAGGGAGAAGTGGAGAGAGGGAGAGAGAAAAAAAGTGAGAAATCACCCCCTGGGGGGATGGCCATGCCACAGTCTCTTCTCCTCCATTCTCTTCTTGGGATTTTAGGCACACATGCACACAAATCCAGCATGTTTTTCAAGTCACCATGTCCAGGACTCGAACTACAAAGTTGTCCATGTGAGATCCAGTGCCTTAATCACCACGCCACCTGCTGGCCTCTCCAGAACAGTTTTAATAACCACATGCTGCAAGTCAGTCTCAGCCCATCTTGCCCTACGTTTCTGCAGCACTTGACTTGGACCATGACAAACTTGCCAGTGAAAACCCTTCTCCTCGGTCTTTGCAGCACATCACAAGTCTGATTCTCTGATTCTCACCTACCTCTGGCTCCTCCCAGACCTGGTGGCTCGCTCGCTCTCTCTCGCTCTCTCTCTCTCTGACTCTCTCTGGTAAGCACACGTGTCCTATAGCAAATTTAAAAATAAATAAACAAATAAAAATATAATTCCTTTTTTAATAAAAATATAATTCTTAAAAACAAAAACAAAAAACCAGAGCCCATCACAAAGAAGGGATGTGAGATGAAGTGGACCCGACGTTCGCACACTTTAAAATAGCCCAGATACTTTTATCCAGACAGCCCCAACTCTGCACCTTGCCAAAGACAACACAGAAATTACCTCCCACATAACACCTCCATCAAAACTTTACACAACCTTGAACAGACGTTTTGGTTTCGGTGCAGTTCCCCTCCTTTTAAGGACACCTCTTACTGATTTTTCCTGTCTTCACCCCTCTAGCTCCTCTGCCTCTAGCAGCAGGGCCTCGACCTGTCTATCTCCCCAAACCAAACTCCCATTCCACATGTTGATGTCTGCTTATTCTTTTTTCAGTTTTTTGCTGTAGGGCATCTGTGCTTACCTGAGAGACAGAGAGAAAGGGGACTGTGTGTGAAAAGTCACCCCCCGGGGAGATGGCCATGCTCTAATCTCTCCTCCTCCATTCTCCTCTCAGGGTTTTGTGTACACATACACACATGCAGTGTGTTTTCTAACTCACCTGGTCTGGGACTCAAATTGCACAGTAGGCCAAGTGGGAATCTAGTTGCCTTAACCACCATACCACCTGCCGGCCCATGTTGATGTGTTTTTAAAACCTAGACTTCCTTTCACAAAATCACTTGGATCAGATCTGTAAAAATGCAGATTCTGGGGGCTGGCAGCTGGCATGATGGTTAGGGTCCTGGACTCCCACATCGCCAACCATGGTTCCAGTCCTAGATCTAGCGGCTTGCTTTCTCACTTTCCTTTCTGGGCAAATTAAAAAAAATTAATAATGATGATAAATAAAATGAAATAATTCTTAAAAAAAAAAAAAAAAAGGCAGATTCTGGGACCAGCAGATGAGTAAGGGTTACATCACTGGACTTTCACATAGCTGACCACAGTTTGAGACCCAGACCGGGTGGCTATGAGTTCACGCTGGGCAGGTGTGTGTATGTGTGTGTCCAAAATCTTGAGAAAAGAATGGAGGAGTGCGGGGTGGCCATTCCCCCTGGTGAGTGATTTCTCGCTTTCTGTGTCTCTCTGTCTCTCCAGCAAACACACACACCTTATAGCAAAAATCTCTCCTAAAAAAAAAATTGCAGATTCTAATATCTTCCCTAAATTTACTAAGAGGAAATCTCTGAAGGGGGGTACTGGGACCAGCAGTTAGCGTGATGGCTATGTCGCTGGACTCCCACGTAGTTGACCACCAAATAAGGATAATTTTATTTCTAGAACGACCTGTTTCAAGTTAAGCAAAAAAAAAAAAATTTTTTCTTTTTTAGAGCGATTTTTGCTATAGGGTGTGTGCCTGTCAGAGACAGACAGAAAGCAAGAAATCATCCTCCAGAGAGGATGGCCATGCCACAATCCCTTCTCCTCCACTCTCCTCTCAAGATCTTGGGCACACATGCAAATATGCCCAGCATGAGTTTTAAGCTGCTGGGTCCAGGACTTGAACCATGGTTGACTACATGTGAGTCCAGTGATGTAACCATTATGCTATCTGCTAGTCCCCCAGCAAAAAGTACATTTTGAAAGTCTTATCTGGGCCAGCAGGTAGCATGGATATTAAGGTGCTGGATCCCACAGGGCCATCTGCGCAGTTTGAGTTCAGGACCTGGTGGTTTGGAAATCACACCAAGAGTGTATGCATGGCTGCCCATAATCCTGAGAGGAGACTGGAGGAGAAAGGACTGTGGTGTGCTCATCCCCTTGGTAAGTGATTTATCACTCTTCCTCTTGTTTCCCCCTTCTCGTGAGTGCATGCCCTATAGCAAAAATGGAAAAACAATACATAAACACACACACACACACACACACACACACACACACACACAAAGCCTTATTCATAAAACTGAATTTCAGTCCATTCAGAGCTCAGTTTCTGCTCCTTCCTTATGTTTTCATTCTTTTCTTCATTATCAGTATTCCCAATCCCTGATCTGCTGCTGGTCTTTCACCCTTTTCTGCTGCTGCTCTCTGCTCTTTGACTAACAGGTCCCCTTATGTTTTTCAACTTCCTAAATTAAAAAAGATTCTCCCCTATTAAACATTTAGTGGCCCAGTATTAGTTTCATTTTCTAAAATTTTTATTACAAGCTACAACACTGATGAACCTTGAAAAGATTATGCTAGGTGAAAGAAGTCATACACAGAAGACCACGTATGTATGATTCCATTTACATGAAATGTCCATAACAGGCAAATCCAGAGACAGAAAGCAGATTAGTGGTTGTCAAGAGGCTCAGGGAGGAGGGGATGAGGAGCGACTGCTAATGAGTTTGGAGTTTTATTTTGGGGTGATGGAAATGTTCTGGACTTAAGATGGTGGTCATGGCCGTCCAACCTGGTGAACATAATGAAACCCACCAAATCATACCTAGACAGTTAAGAAATGGTGACTTTTATATTCCAATTTATATGAATTATATCTCAATAAAACTTTTTTAAATTTTATTTTAATTTAGGATCTTAAGCCTCAGGTACAATTTTTTAGCATGTAGATGCTCAAAGCAAAAAAAGCAAAACAACCACCACCCCAAACCAAAGCATTTTTAAAACTGCAGAAGGACATTTGTACCACAGTCACAAACCCGCCTGCAGACCAACACTTTTCCCAAGGTTTGGGTACAGCCTGACTTTGAAATATCAACTTAATGTTTTATAAACACAATTTCCACAAAAGAAGGTGATCCGTTCCATTATATGTCAAGGTAAGTGGTGGTGCAGTCAGTGCAAAGTGAATTTGTACAGCTCAGATTCTGTGCTCAAGCTGTTCATGCCCCAGACGTTTTATACTTCACAGAGTTACTTAAATCAGCGTACCAGACTGTGGCACTTCCTTTTTTTTCATTAAAAGAAACAAAAAAGTCTATTCAATTGGGATTTTAGAAATAACATTTTATATATAGTCTAGGATTTTTAAAAAAATTCTTTCAAAAGACAGATTGCAGGGCCAGCGGGTGGTGTAGTGGTTAAGGTGCTGAACATTCCCACCGGACAACCAAAGTTTGAGTCCTGGACTTGGTGGCTTGCTTTCTCACTTTCCCTGTCTCTCTCTGGTCAGATTAAAATAAATGAATGAATAAATAAAAATTTAAATAAATAATTCCTAAAACAAAAACAAGAAAACAAAGTCAAATTGCTTGGGTAAAATCCCAGTTCCTCTACCCTTTCACAGGATGATGCATCTTCTACCCAACCAAAGGGCCAGAGTGAGCAGACAGAGCTATAAAAACACCAAAGGAGCCCAGATAAAAGGATAGTCTGTTATACAAGTAGGAATATAAAGAATACAGCACCAGCAAAATTTGTCAAAAACCTTAAAATATGAGTATGTTTCACCCAGTAATTACACTTCTAAAAATGTACTGTGAAGAATGATTGGTCAGAACCTGGCCTTGGTAGATGATGCTGCTCAGCAGGCTGAGGCCACGCAGGAGCCCTGGGCTCGATTCCTGGCCCACCCTAAAAGCCAGGCACTGTTGTATGCAGGCCTGTAGTGCCAACTACTCAGAAGGCTGAGGCAGGAGGATCAGACACTGTGGGACCCTACCTTAGAAAAACAAAGAAAAGATTAAGCAGAGGCACTGAGGTATATGTAATAAGGATGTTCATCAGAACATATTCACAATAAAGAAACTGGAAATAGGCCCAGCCACGGCACCGCAGGCAGCAGGGGCACTGCTGTGTGATGCTGGAGGCCAAGCGGGAGGTTCTGGGTTCATGTCTTTGTTCTGCCTGAACATAACCAGGCGCACCTGTGATTCTGCTAGCGCTAAGGCTCAGGGGAAGAATGCAGCATGAGGCCCTGTCAAGGGTGCACCTCTCTGTCTCTCAGGAAACACACTGGGGAGGGGAGGGAATAAGCACAGTATTTAACAATAGGAGATCGATTCGATAAAAGTTGGCCTATCTGTATAGTGGAATAGTGTACAGCTTGGAAATGATGATATGGAGCTACATTTATCGATCTGTAAACATACAAGCAATTTTTTGGGTGAAAAAAGGTTATAAAACAGTGTGGCCACTTCCTCCCATACATGTTTTGTGTATATAAACATGTGTACCTTTAACAGCTGCACCTTTTATAGCTATACACAATGGCAGAAAGAACATAAACTAAAAAGTTAACGGTAAATATCGATGGAGTGTGGAGAAGGAGAGAAGGGACTGCTTTCTGATGGCTGGATTTTCTTTAGGTTTCTACCCGAATCTGTATGTTTACAATGAAGGAGAAAACAAAAAGACTCAAAGAGTCTAATGAGCCTGAACTGCCACATTAGCAGCACTTTGGGAGCTGAGGGAGAAGGGGACTATTATTTCTCAGAAGCACTGATGACCTACTTTGGATTGTAAAAGTATTTTTAGCTCCTTCCTAAGAGATGAAGTTCCTCTACAGTGGGGGCAAGCACCAAAAAACAGATTTGTGGGGACAAAAACAACAGTGGCCACGAACTGAGCATCTCTCAGGCTCTAGTTGAGGCAGTTTCACTCAGCAACTCACACTGCCTTCCTTCTAGCAGTTTCTCAGTGCGGTGCCCTGCGCGGCAGAGTAGTTGCTCTGTATCCACCATGCCAGGAAATACAGAGATTCTGAAGTGGCCCAAGGACCGTGTGGTCTCTAAACAGTGAGAACCAGTCACTAGCCACTGCAGATGTGTTATGCCAGTAACTTGGGCGTGATGGTTAAGTGTGGGCTCTGGGGCCAGCCAGCCACTTACTAGCAGTGTGATCTCAGAGAAGTGACCCAACTCCTCTGTGTTTCCTCATCTATAGAATGGGAGTTTCAGGCTGTTCATCTGTAGAATGGGAATATTAGGTTTTTTCGGAGGTTAAGATGAGCTAATACATGTAAAGCACTTACAATGAGTCTCTGGTACATATTAAGTCCTAAAAGAGGTGAGTTATTGTTAATACTATTAATAACATTATGGTAGTAATAATCCCATACTTCCTTACACCAATAACTTACAATTCCTGTCCTCCACTGTTCTGTTCTCCTGATACAATCTGAAATAAACAGGCTTAATATAATTTTAAAATTTCATTTTACCTCATCAATTTCAAGACTACAAATTAAACAGTATGGAATAAATTAACATGAGAAAATTAATATAGATGAACACTTTAAGTTGCTGACAATAAATCCTTAAGAAAAGTTAAGTTTCATGAAGCAGGATTAACACTGCTCTGGATCCCCACAGCCTAGCATAGTATAGACGTTCGAGTACAGGAAGGTGCCCAGTGATATTTGTGGAGTGACCAGAATAACAAATGAATTATAAAAACCATCACATCCCATTTATCATCTTATTTGTAATATTCTATCCTTTTATGGTACCCCACTTCTTCTCCTCTAGAGTAGCATACCTGGACTTCAAAGGTACTTTATTCTTTTTTGGGGGGCGGGGGGGAGATAATTTTGCTATAGGGTGTGTGTGCTCGCTGGAGAGATAGAATCTGTTCTCCTGATACAATCTGAAATAAACAGGCTTAATATAATTTTAAAATTTCATTTTACCTCATCAATTTCAAGACTACAAATTAAACAGTATGGAATAAATTAACATGAGAAAATTAATATAGATGAACACTTTAAGTTGCTGACAATAAATCCTTAAGAAAAGTTAAGTTTCATGAAGCAGGATTAACACTGCTCTGGATCCCCACAGCCTAGCATAGTATAGACGTTCGAGTACAGGAAGGTGCCCAGTGATATTTGTGGAGTGACCAGAATAACAAATGAATTATAAAAACCATCACATCCCATTTATCATCTTATTTGTAATATTCTATCCTTTTATGGTACCCCACTTCTTCTCCTCTAGAGTAGCATACCTGGACTTCAAAGGTACTTTATTCTTTTTTGGGGGGCGGGGGGGAGATAATTTTGCTATAGGGTGTGTGTGCTCGCTGGAGAGATAGAAAGCAAGAAATCATCCCCCGGGAGGATGGCCAAATTACAATCCATTCTCCTCCAGTCTTCTCTCGGGATTTTCAGCACGCACGTATGTGTGCCCAGCATCGAGTCTGAGACTTGAGCCAGGATCGACTATGTGGGAATCCTGTGATGTAATCATTATGCCATCTGCTGGTCCCCAGATGTACCTTAAGAAGCACATTTTTCAGAAAACATAAAGGTAATCTGGGCATGGTGGCGCCCGCCCTATGGCGAAAAACACAAAGGTAATCTGGTAGAACCAAGACAAAACCACTAGGTTCGGCTAAGTCAGATAATACAACTGAGAAGGCGAGATGCCCTCTTCTACACTCACCCTCTGGCTCTGCCCACGACATCTTTTTTCTCTAGCCAGTGTTGTCCTTGTTTATACAGGCCTCGGTCATCCACTGCGTTATTATCACCTTTGGTTAAAAACTTGATATGCCCATTTTGCCTTAAAAGAATGAGGGAAACCCAAGTCATCAAACACTTTCATGGCATTCGAAAACACACAATTTGCTCTTGTTAACCAAAACTTCCTGTGGCATAGTGGTTATTCTATTACCATTCCTAGTGTCAAAATAAATTACTTAGCTAAAAAGATATTTATATCCTTTTTTTTAAAAAAATATTACGGAAAGATGAAACAAACTACATATCTAACACTAAAGGAATTGAAATATTATGCAAACATTAAGGAAAATGCTATAGAAGAATATTTAATGACAATAGATTATAGACATTTTATTAAGTGAAGAAAATATTACAAAATAGTGTGTAAAGTATAATTTTGCTTTTATATTAAAAAGTATAAATGAAAGCAATACGTCAAATTACTCCACAGGATGAATCTGCAGATGATGGGATACTACAGACTGACCCAGTTTCTTCACCAAGTTGCAAAGGACAAAACAGTAAGAAAAGGAACCTAAAATTAAGTAAGAGACTATAAAGTCATATAAACCAACTGTAGCCAAGGGTCTATTTAAATGAGCTTCCAACAATTGTTAAAAAGGTTATGGGAACCAGCAGTTAGCGTAATGGCTATGTTGCTGGACTCCCACGTAGTCGGCCGCGGTTCGCGTCCCGGACCCGGTGGCTTAGAACTCACGCCGGGCGCGTGTGCGTGCGTGCCCAAGATCCCGAGAGGAGAATGGAGGAGAAGGGATTGCGGCGTGACCATCCCCCCTGGGGGGTGATTTCTCGCTTTCTGTCTCTATGTCTCTCTCTGTCTGTCTGGCGAGCGCACGCGCCCTATAGGGAAAATCTCTCCAAAAAAAAAAAAAAAAAAGGTTATGAGGGGCCAAGTGGTGGCACAGTAGTAATACAATCTGACCCATGTGGCAAAGACTCCAGGTTCATGTCATGGGACTTCCCCAAGCACATGAGGCATGCAAGTGCCCGTGATCTGGACTGGCTGAGACTAAAGGTGGACTGTCACCTGAAGACCTTGCTGGGGGTGCCCTCCCCTTTATGGAAGAAAGAAAAAAACAAACTTGAAAAAGCCTAGCCTAGGCACAGTCCATACACGGTGTACTGGACTGCAGTACTGGGAGCCACATGGCCGACTGCAGGTTCAGATCCCTGGGTTGGCCTGACAACACAGCAGGCAAACCCACTGGTGCCCAAGGTTCTGAAGAGCTGGAGGGCTGGGAAAAGGGGATCATGGTGTGATGAGACCCTGCCAAGAGCTTGCTGGTGCTCTCGTGCACCTGCACACACTCTGTTATTAAAAAAAAAAAGTTATGACAGAATTGGGAATTTGAACAAAGATATAAAAAAACTTACTAAGAAATTCCTTTTTTCAGTGTAAGCATGTTAATTATGCTTTATAAAACCCTGGTGATTGTGTTTTACAGATATTTACTAAAGTATTTACATATGACAGAAATGATGTCTAGGATCTGAATCAAAATAATACAGCAGAGGAAGAAGAGGAGGGAGTACAGACAGGGGAGCACTGGCCATACATGTCTCATGACGGGGTCTGGGCAATAGATACACGTGGGCTCATTACACTTTTCTGTGCATGTCAGAAATTCTTGGGCCGGGGACTGGTAGATGGTGGTGGCTAGGGGTGCTGGATTCCCACATGGCCGACTGTGGGAATTGGACCTGGCGGCTTCCTTTTTCGCCTTCCCTTTCTCTCTCCCTCTCTCTGTCTGGTCAAATTAAAAAATAATAACAACAAATGGAATTAAATAAATAAATAATTCTAAAAAAAAAAAGAAGGAAAGAAATTCTTGGGCCAGTGGGTGGCATGGCATGGTGGTTAATGGCTGGTTGCATAGTTTGAGTCCCGGACCTGGTGGTTTGAAAAACACACAAGGTGGTATACATGCATGCCCCAAATCCCAAGAAAATGGAGGAAAAGGCAGTGTAGCCACCTCTAGCCCCCTACTTGGGGGGTTGTTTTCCCACTTTCCATCTCCAGGGAGCACATATGCCCCATATCACAATTTAAGAAAGAAAGAAAGATAAAGAAAGAAGGATGGAAGGAAAGAAATTCTCCAAATTTAAATAATTAATTAATTCTTTAAAATTATTTATTTACTTAATTTGACCAGAGAGGGACAGACAGAGAGAAAGAGACAGAAAGTGAGAAAGCAAGCTTCCAGGTCCAGGACTCAAACCACTCAAACCATAGTTGGCCATGTGCCAGTCCAGTGCCCTTAGCCACCACACCACCTGGTGATCCCATAAATAATTAATTAACTTTTAAAAATGGAATAAAACAGGATCTAAATGAGCACTTTAGCTTACCTTTATCTTCTTATTCTCCAACAAACATGTACTACTTTTACATTACGAAAAAAGAATTTTTTGGGGAACCAGCAGTTAGTGTAATGGCTATGTCGCTGGACTCCCATGTAGTCGACCGCGGTTCACGTCCCGGACCCGGTGGCTTAAAACTCCCGCAGGGCGCGTGTACGTGCATGCCCAAGATCCCGAGAGGAGAATGGAGGAGAAGGGATTGCGACGTGACACCATCCCCCCCGGGGGGTGATTTCTCATTTTTTTGTCTCTATGTCTCTCTCTGTCTGTCTGGTGAGCGCACGCGCCCTATAGTGAAAAATCTCTCCAAAAAAAAAAAATTTTTTTTTAAAGAACTATTTTATTTAACATTATTTATTTATTTTTAATTTGACCCGAGGGGAACAGACAGAGAGAGAAAGTGAGAAAGCAAGCCACCAGGTTCAGGACTTGAACCACGGTTGGCCATGTGGGAGTCCAGTGCCCTTAACCACCATGCCACCTGCCAGCTCCCAAAAAAGAATTTTTTTAAAAGGAAAAAAAATTTCAATCCTTCAGAACTGCCAGGGTTCATAAGAATAAAAGTACTTGATCAGAAAATTACTGATTAATTCTACTAAAGAACCAAGAGTTTTCTAGCAATTACAAGTCTTAATTGAAAGGAAAGTATATTTTATAGTTGCTAAAGACCAGCTTAAAATTAGTGCAAGTGAGTTTGGGTTAACCATTTCACTAAAGAGAAGAAAATAAGCCTTGGATTTCAACTTCCTAATACCAGCTTAGATTCTAAGTCAGAAACTGGCTTACTAGACTCGAAATCTGCAGATGAAACTAAATTAGGAGGTGTTGCAAACACCAGATAGTTAAGTGAAAACAGTCACCTTAAAAATGAGATTCCAGTTACGAAAAATGCAAATATATACAGAGAAAAAGAATCTGTAGCTAACGATTCAGTAAGTGAAAGAATGTCTGAAGAGCCCTGGAGTGTAAAAGAGGACAGGTGCCGGGTTGGGGTGGGCTCTAACAGCCACAGAGAAGAGCAGAGCAGCAGGAGGATGATGCTATCTCCATTCCCAGCCATGAGATAACATCAACCCAGGGCCGAAAGGTAAGATCAGGTGTAGCAGAGGAAAACCAGGAGAGCGGAAGCTCTCCAGGGAAGGGAAGAAATGCCAGGCTGCTCCCAAAGACCTGATTTGCCAGTAGAACAAACCAACCAGCATGGCCAATTGCTCCCTTCTGGAGGTTAATTAGGAGAGACCTCTAAAGCTTATTTGGAAAAACACTGATCTCCATCTACTTGATGGGGGAACAATTTTCTCTGGTGGCAACCAGCTCTTACTATTATTACTCCAGCACAACTCATAGGTTCGAGACGCTGACTGAAAGCACATTATCACAGGACTTGTCCCTTGTTAGCACACAGGGACCAAATAATTGATATTATCTGCTTCCAAAGAGCTTCCAAGTGTTTATGATTTATTTTATCCATCACAACATGGTGACATTTGGAAGGAGGAAATGACCACTTTGCAGATGAGAAAAAATGAGATGCATGAAAAAATGGGTGCAGAATAATCTGTCTACTTAGGGAAAGCAAAACTAAGGACCAAGTCATCCAGTGATGAAATTTCTCTTTCCAAATACTTGATCCCATGCCAGTGTTCAGCATCGTCAGATTACAGTATCTCCTGCAGACTGAACTGATTAAATACATGCATTTTGGTTATTATTTACATGCCTTTTTTTTTTTTGAGAGATATTTTTGCTCTAGGGTGCTTGTGCTCGCCACAGAGACAAAGAGATAGAAAGTAAGAAATCATCCCCTGAGGGGATGGCCATGCCATATTCCCTTCTCTATTTGCCTCTCAAGATTTTGGACATATATACACACATGTCCGCCCGAGTTTAAGCCACCAGGTCCAAGACTTGAATTGCACTTAACTATGTAGAAGTCCAGCGACATAACCATTATGCCATCTGCTGGTTCCACTGGATCACATTTAAAAAAAAAAAGTGTTTTTTTTTTTTAAGAATTATTTATTAATTTTATTTATTCATTTGACGAGACAGACAGACAGACAGAGAGAGAGAGAGAGAGAGAGAGAGAGAGAAAATGAGAAAGCAAACCACCAGGTCTGGGGTGTGAACTATGGTTGGCCCTGTGGGAGTGTCCAGCGCCTTAGCCACCACACCACCTGCTGGTCGCCAAGAAAAAACATTAATTCTACGAAGTTAAATGATCTTTTTTTTTTTTTTTTTTTGAGAGGTTTTTGCTATAGTGCGTGTGTGGCCACTAGAAAGACAAAAAGAGACAGAGAGAAAGTGAGAAATCACCCCTTGGGGGGGAT